AATCTCCCTACTGTTCTTCTCGCAGAGAGTCCAGCATTTATACTATTAAATGTTTTCCTGCCATTTTTTTAAAAACCTTAATCTTCTCTTTATTGAAATTCCATTTTGGTCTGATTTTAAAAGTGACTTTTCAAAAGCATTTTCCACCAAGTGACAGTGCTTCTCGTGCAGAAACAGTCTTAATTAAGGCCTCTGGGCTGGTCACCACGTTTTCAAGAGCTAATCCTTTGTCTGCAGAAACTGCTGTGTAGGATTTACTTCCTCAATTGGATCAGCCCAAAGTTAAGGTAGCAGAGAAACGTGAAACGTTACTTACGAAAGTTACCGAACACGTCAATCGGCATTGAATCATGACCAAAAAAGTGTGTGTTTTTTTATTAACCTGTTTATAGGGTCACCTCATTTCTGACGAATTAACCTTGAACTTTTGATAAAGCGCGCATTTGGATTGGTTACATGTTTGGAAAATCTACGTTTCATCGGTTATCCTGTACTGAATTTCGATTACACTTACACCGAGCAGTGTATGCCCTGTAAATATGCAACTTTTCAATTTGATTTCTGCCCCCCCCCCTTGGGATGGTGTCACCCGATGCTGTCCATACCCCCTAGCTGCGCCACTGTTTGCCGATGCTGTCCATACCCCCTAGCTGCGCCACTGTTTGCCGATGCTGTCCATACCCCCTAGCTGCGCAACTGTTTGTTTTAATTAAAATTAAATCACCATTGAATGAATATTAATAATTTTTCTAAGAACTCGGTTCAAAAGAGTTAATCGTTCATTTAAAAAAACGACAGCCTATTTGTATGTTAGGTTAATAATTATCATTGTGGATATAATGTTTATATGTAGGTGGTCCCGAAATTTTGTAGAAAAGTAAAAATGTCTGTTCTATAGATTTCCTATGGCTATTTAAAACAAGTCATATTAAAAACTAAATTATAAATTGTATAAAAAAAATAATAAGCAAGGAAATATTTACAAAAGACGTCATATATATATATATGTGATTTATTTGAAGGAAAATGAGACAGCGTGATTTTGAAACAAATGCAGTAACTTAAATTGTGTATTCAGAATTTCTGACTACTACTAAATAATGAACGTTTGGTGCCTTTTGATTGTAGGACTCTTTGATTTACTCCTCCTCCGACCCCCTCCCCCACCAAGAAAAATATTGATGGATTTTTTTTTTTCAAATTGAAAATTAATCAAAAGAAACTTTATCTTAAGCTAGTAAAAAAAATGAATTCTGAATAGATTTGAGAATCGATAAACTTAAACACATTTAAGACATTTAAAATATTAACTGGAAAAGCGGTCTTGCCGCTTTCATTTTGAAAGCAAAATAAATTGACAACAATAATTTTGGTATATTCACTGAAAATAATTGCAGCATAATGCCCCTAGAAGTGTGAGGTGCCATAGAGGTTCCCTAGACGCATGATTCCCCTTAGAGTAGGGTGATCAAATCATGAAATGGAAAAAACGGGACACAGCCAAAGAAGGCTAGTTGGGGGGGGGGGTGAATACCCTCCAGATAAAGAGGGGCCTGGGGGTTTCACGTGGAAACTGTTTATTGACATATGCTCATAACTTTAATGAGACCTAGAAATCTTTTTAAATTTACCTTCACTTTTGTAATTTAATTTAAACTCTGAGGAATATCATAAAAGAAAACAATAATCTTGCAGTGAATACTTATTAATTTATACATATTTTACAACATAATAGGACAAAAAATTAAATTTCTCTAGTCTAGGATTTAATTGAGGATATTGGGCTGTTGTCCCAGCCATATTGGGCTGTTGTCCCAGCCATTGTTAAAACCTCCTTCTGATCTAATATGTGAAAATGGGTTTGGTTTTAGAAACGGGACATTTAGGCGTCCCGATAGACTTTTTCGGGATACCGCGTACGATCGTGAAAAAACGGGACAATCCCGTTTTTATGGGACGTTTGGAAACCCTACCCTAGAGGCGTGAGCGCTCATAGAACTAGAGGCATGAGGCCTGGCTAGGAAGAGGGGCGAGTGTGAGACCCTGGGCAAGTGTGCAATGTGACCATGCCTTTTATCCACTAATTTCACCACTGAGCACGGAGCAGTGGCGTGGCTAGTGTTATTAACGCCCGGGACTAACATCTTAGTCCAACATGATTGTAAACACAAACTCAAAATCTTTATAATTTTTTTTTCGATTCATACCCTGGATGGAAAAACTTGTTTACGTGAGTTATTTCCCTTTAAGAAGTCTCCAACTTATGATTCGCATTTTTAAATATTAATTTTGGAATTTCCCAATAATATTGTAGGTAAAATTTAAGGGAACGTGCTGTCCACTTACTTTAAAATCAAATTAAATTGTCAATATACAATTAACAATATGTGAAAATTGATGCCTCGAAAAAGAGTGGTCTCCTAGAAGCGTGAGGCCCCCTAGAAGCATGGGGCCCAGGGCCAGTGTGCCCATGCCTAAAGACGGCACTGCCCCCCCCCCCCTTATTATAAAAAGTTATAATCAGGCAGTTTGTTGACGTGTTCAATTTAGTAGAATGAGGTTATTTAGGCAAATAAGTTAGCAAAAACAATAACTAAAGCAAAAAAATAAAATAATAATAATAAATAAACTCTTAAAAACATTGAGAATTAAACTGACTAATTTATTAAATTTAGTCATTTTTTCATTTTGTACCAATAGAATTATTCGCCAATAAAATACACAAGAAATTAAAGGTCAAGTAACATTC